CAGGGCTAGGGGGCAGGGGCTGCGGGTCAGGGGTGAGGGACCCTGGCAGGGTGGGGGTCCCAGCTCTCAACCCCATGCTCCCCTCCACAGGGCTGTGCGGGGACTGGTGGTTGCTGCTGTTGGCGGCAGAGGGCGAGCGCGTGGAGGCCTTGTGCCGGCGGTGCCTGCGGGCACTCAGCATCGCCTTCCTGTGGGGCTGAGGCGCCCCTGGTTTGTGCGGGGCCTGGACCCTGGCTCCAGCCCCGGGGTCAGCTCGGGCTCCCCCGCCACGGCCCTGTAGCTCCAGGGGTGACCGTTGCGCTAGAGCGCCCAATAATGCCTGAATCATGTCTGTGGCATGTGCTGGGGGTGCCTATGGAGGGTCAAAGGTCAAGGGAGGGGGCTAGGGCAGGAGGGCTGGGGCCGGGAGCACCGCCTGCCAGGGCCCTGCCCACCCCCCGACCCTGGCTACCCCCATGCAGCCCAGCCCCGAGGTGGGGGGACAGGGAAGGGCAGTGCGTGTCCAGTGTGTGTCCTGGACGCCTGGATTATGTGCGTATGTGCATGGTGGGTGTGTGTGTACAGGTATGCTGCAGATGCCTGGGTTCTGTGTGTGTGTGTGTGTGAGCATGTGTGTGTGTGTGAGCATGTGTGTCCTATGACTGGGTGCTCTGTGTATGTGTGTGCACACATGCCTGCGCATGTGTGCACACCTCCGCGCTTGCACGTGTGTGCATGCCCTCCCACCTGACATGTGAAGGTGGTGTCCGCGTGCCTGCTTGCACCTATCGGTGCACGCCAGGCATGTGTAAGTGTGCACATGTGTGTGCATGTGCAGGTGTGCTCCCAGCTTTCTCACCTCCCCCAGCTGCAGAGAACCCAGGCGTCCGGCTCCCCCGTGGGCGCTGCCCCGCGTGGGTCAATATTGGCCGTCACGCTGCCCCCTCCCCCCCTCATCCGGGCTGGGAGCGGCGGCTGCCCGGCCGCCCGGGCTGATGGTAAGTGCTGTTTTAAAATGTAATTTGAATCCTACATGAGAAGTATTTTTTCCCTAACAGGCTGGCCACCTAATAGAAGATTTTAAGGACTTTAGGAGTTAAAGAAATTAGTTTTAAATGTTCTCAAATGTTACCAAGATTGATATTTCTTTATATGAATGCACATTTTAACAAATTTAAGTCCTTTGCCTAGTTATTTAAGTCATTAAGCATATGCTTTACCTGTATTGTTTGCTCATTTATATCTTATCTATATTTTCATTAATATGCTATTAAAGTATGCATTACTTTTGTGGGATTGCCTCTTTGACCCTTTCTTGGTTCCTAGAATTACTCTGATGGTCAATAATATTTAACAACTCCAGCTGTACTCTTGGCTATCTCTACATATTTTCAGAGTACTTTCATTTAAGAAAATGAATCTCAGCCACAAGTAAAACTGTTAAATCAACCTTACACTATACCATTATTTAGGTTATCAAATAACTGATTACAACCATTTTAAGTATATCAAGCTGAGAAACTTTATATGAACTCTTGTCACTCTTAAAGTTAAGTAAATCTATATTAATCTGTTTCAAATAAACTGAGGGACGGAAATGAGAACACAGAATCCTTAGCACATGTTCCTTCCTTAAAGGTCACACAAAGAGCACAATTATTTACTCAACATAGAGAATATGTATTTGATATTGAATTCTGTGCCTGTATTGATTATACTGATGTCAGTGAAGCTCATGAGCAACAGCACTTCCTAATTCATAAGTAATAACATTTATTTTAATCCTGTGAGATTTGTGTGAAAAATAAGTGTGCACATTGATATATATTTTAGTTAGTTCTTTCATAATGAATAGCCGTCTTATCACCAAAGTGTTCCATGCTTTTAAGGACTTTGTTAATAAAGCCAAACCAGAACAGAACTGATCTGTTGCATTTCAGACTCAGTTCACTGCCTCTGTAGACAGTGGAAGAGGTGTTTATTCTCTTCCAAATAAAGAAGATACTAAATGTTCAGTCCAGTCTTTTATTGGTTTGTCTGCTCCTAAGATTTCTCAGTTTAAAACTTTAATTCTCTCTCTCTCTCTCTCTCTCTCTCTCCAGGGCTCCCCCACTCATCCCATACAGAACCCAGGTATCCAGGTCATGCAGATATGCACACACACGTGCTGGGACACCCCCCCCCCTCACCCCACCCAATGCAAATGTCCAGGGCACACACACACACACTCCAGGACTCCCCCAATTCAGGCAGAACCCAGGTGTCTGGGACATGTGCACACCTACACACACGCACACGCATGCACACACTGGGCTCCAGGACCCCATCCTCTCCTCCCTCCACCCATCCTATACAGAACCCAGGTGTCCAGGACATCAAGATACCCCCCCCCACACACACACACACAGAACCCAGGTGTCCAGGACACACACACACACACACACACACACACAGTACCCAGGCATCCAACAACACACACATACACACATTCACATGCAAACATACCCACATACATGGGGACCCCTGACCCACATAAAATCCAGGGAACATGCGCACGCGCGCGCACACACACACACACACACACACACACACACACTGGGACCCCCGACCCACACAGAACCCAGGCATCCGGGTCCCCTCTAAAGCTGCGTGTCCCCACAGGGCTCCGCTGCAATGGGCACCCTGCTGGCCACACTGCTCCTGCTGCTGGGAGAGTGCGGGGGCATGTGGGGGGTTGGGGGCAGCTGAGGGGAGGGGCTCTGGGGTCCCTTTCCACAGGGCTGACTCCTGCTCCCTCCAGGGCCGGCGCTGACCTCGGCGCTGTCTGTGGCCAAGGACACCGGAGGTGAGAGCAGGGGGCTGGAGGGTCCCCGGAGGTGTGTTCCCCCAGGGGTGGGGGGAATCCTGGGGGTGTCTCAGGGGGCATGCACAAAAGTCTGGGGGGGGCAGGGAGGGCAGGGATGAAGTCTTGAGGGTGGTGATGGGGTCCCTGCAGCTGGGGGGGAAGGGACAGGGTTTCCAGGATCTCTGGGGACAGTGATGGGGTCTTGGGGGGATATGCTGGGGTCCCTGGTGGCTGGGGGGACCACAGCAGGGTCTTGGGGTGCAGTGATGGGGTCCCTGGGGGATGGGGGCTGTGTTGGGGTCCCAGGATCCAGGGGGTCAGTGCCGGGGTCTTGGGAGGCAGTGATAGAGTCTTGGGGGGAAGTGCTGGGGTCCCAGGGGTTTGGGGGGGCCAGGGCTGGGGGGTAGTGACAGGGTCTCAGGATCCAGGAGGTCAGTGATGGGGTCTTGGGGGCCATGTTGGGGTCCCTAGATCCAGAGGGTCAGTGATGAGTGAGGTCTTGGAGGTGCTGTGTCAGGGTCCCTGGGGTCTTGGAGGGCTGTTTCGAGGTCCTGGGGGTGGTGATGGGATCCCAAGATCTGCGGGGGGGAGGGGGCAGTGATGGGGTCCTGGAGATGTTGGGGGAGCCATGCCAGGGTCCCCAGGTCCAGGGGGTCAGTGATGGGGTCTTGTGGGGCTGTGAGGGGGTGCTGGGGGGCTGGTGCTGGGATCCAGGAGATCAGTGATGGGGTCTTGGCCTGTATTGGGGTCCCAGGAAGATGAGGGGACAGTGATGGGGTCCCTGGGGCCTTGGGGGAACATGTTGGCATCTCAGACAGCTGGGGGGCTATGACAGGGGTCCCGTGATCTGGGGGGGACAGTGATGGGGTCCCTGGGGTCTTGGGGGGCTGTGTTGGGGTTCCAGTATCCAGGAGGTCAGTGATTGGGTCTTGGGCCATGTCAGGTGCTGGGAGGGGCAGTGAGGGGGTCCCTGGGGTCTTGGGGGTCAGTGTCAGGGTCCCTGGCATTTTAGGGGGCTGTGTCAGGGTTCCAGGATCTGGGCTGGGGGCAGTGATGGAGCCCTGGGGTCTTGGGGGGCCTGTGTCAAGTTCCCAGGGGGCCGGGAGGGTGCTATGATGGGGTCTCAGGATCTGCGGAGCAGTGATGGGGTCCCTGGGGTTTTAGGGGGCTGTATCAGGGTCCCTGGACCCAGGGGGTCAGTGACAAGGTCTTGGGAGGGCCATGTTGGGGGTCCCTGGGATGTGGGAAGGGGAACGTGGGGCCGGGGTGGGCGGTAGGTGACAGGGGGGCTGCAGAGCCCCTGATGTACCCCTTCGGGCTCGAGCTGGGCGACGCCGCCACCCCCACCGAGGATGACGGGATGTCCCCCGAGATCTCCATCGATGTCCCCTTCTCCTTCTACGGCCAACAATACCGCAGCCTCTACGTGAGTGTGAGGGGTTGAGGGCCAGGGTCTGGGAGCCCATGGGCTGAGGGGTCTGGAGGCCGGGGTGGGGGTCTGTCCCTGGGGCAGGCGTTGCAGCCTGCAGCCCTCGGCCTGTGCAGGCAGAACCCAGGCATCTGGGACATGCCTGTAACTATACGTGTGCATGCGTGCAAGGAAGCCAGGCATCCAAGGCACATGTGTGCACACATGCACAAGTGTAGGGAGTCTGTGCAGGCCTGTGGGGACACGTACATGCATGGGACCCAGGTGTGCAATGTGCACACACACACACACAAACGGACACGGGGGAACACATGCAGAACCCAGGCATGCAGGACACACACACAGAGGGAACCCAGGTGCTCTAGACATACACGGGCACACAAAGAACCCAGGCATTTGGGATACATACATGCAGAACTCGGGTGTCTGGGACACACATGCACACATGTGCGCACACACAAACACACATGGAATCCAGGTGTGCAGGGCACACATGGACATGCACAGACCCCAGACATTCAGGACACGCATGCAAAACCCAGGTGCCTGGGACAAACACACACACAGACACAGAACTCAGGTGCCCCACATGCATGCATGTGTGCACTCACACACACATACACACAAGTATCTAGAACACATGGGCACACACGAAGGTGGCCCACCCCTCGCTCACCCTCACCCACCCCTACAGGTGAACAACAACGGAGTGGTGTCGTTTGGCGTGTCGGTGGCACAGTACACACCCGACCCATTCCCGCTGGCTGACGGGCGGCCCTTTGTGGCACCGTACTGGGGTGACGTGGACACGCGGCTGGGTGGGCACGTGTACTACCGCCAGAGCCATGACGCCACACTGCTGCGCCGCCTCATGCGTGACCTCCGCGCCTACTTCCCTGGCATCCATTTCACTGCCACCTGGGCCCTCGTGGCCACCTGGGACCATGTGGCCTTCTTTGGTGCTGCCACCACCGTGGCCCGCAAGGTACTGGGGGGAGGGGAGGGGGGACCAGGGCACAGAGTGGGAGGCAGGGGGAACAAGGGGGGGCACACACGCAGAGCCCAGGCATCCAGGACATGTGTGCACACATGCATACCAACATGCAGACCCCAGCTGTCCGGCACATGCATGCATTGACACAGAACACAGGCACCTGGGAGAGGTGTGTATGCACACACACACAGAACCCAGGTATTGGGGGCACATGTGCACATTTGTGTACACACACATGCAGAATCCAGGCATCTGGGACACATGCCCATGCGCACACACACGTGTGCGTGCATGCCTACACACATACACAGAACCCAGCTGTCCAGAACACACATGTACAGACATAGAACCTAGGCATCCAGGGCACATATGTATGCGTGCGTGCGCGCGCGCGCACACACACACACAAAGGCACACAGAACCCAGGTGTCTGGGACACACATGCACTCACATACACACACACTCACAGACCCAGCCATGCAGGACACACATACACAGACACACATGCAAAGAGGCACACACACACACACTCAAAGAACCCAGGCATCCAGGACACACATGCATGGAATCACACATGCCTGAGAGGTGCACCTGTGTGCACACAGACACATGGACACACAATCCAGGCATCTGGGACACACACATAAACACACACATGCAGAACCCAAGTGTCTAGGACACACACACACACAACCCAGGTGTCTGAGGCATGTGCACACACATACACCCTCCCCCCCACCCCGAGACCAGGCATCTGGGACAGACACACACACAGAACCCAGGCGTCCAGGACGCATGCACACATGCACCCCCGCCTCTACACACACCCACTTGTGCTCACTGCCCCCACCCCCACCCCAGGAGAACACGTTCCAGGCGGTGCTGGCCACGGATGGCGATATCTCCTTCATCATGCTCAACTATGAGGACATCCAGTGGACAACTGGCATCGCCAGCGGCGGGGACCCCCTCACTGGCCTGGGGGGCACTGCTGCACAGGTGGGCCGGGGGCACCGGGAGCTGGGGGAGCACATGGGAATGCCAGAGCTGGGGTGGCACCAGAGGGTACCGGGGTCACAACGACAATCCAGACATTGACTAGGGTCACTAGGATGCTTCCAGGAACCAGGGTGACACCAGGGGCACCAAGGGCACTAGGACACACCAGGGACCAGGGGTGGCATGAAGGTCACTAGGATGCTTCAGGGACTGTGAGTGGCACCAGGGGCACGAGGGTCACTAGGACATACCAGGGACTGGGGTGGCACCAGGGGCACTAGGATGCACCAGGGACCAGGGGTGACACCAGGGGTATTAGGGGCACTAGGCTGCACCAGGGACCAAGGATGGCACGAGAATCACTAAGATCAGAGATGGTGGGTGGCACTAGGGGCTAGAGGGTCACTAGGACACTTCTGGGACTGGGGGTGGCATGAGGGTCACTAGGGCACACCAGGAACCAGGGCTGGCATGAGGGTCACTAGGACATGCCAGGGACTGGGGTGACACCAGGGGCATGAAGGTCACTAGGACACACCAGGGATAAGGGTTGGCACCAAGGGCACTAGAAGGCTCCAGGGACCAGGGGTGACACCAGGGACACAAGGGTAACTAGGACACACCAGGGACCGGGCTGGCACCAGGGGCATGAGGGTCTCTAGGATGTACCAGGGACTGGTGGTGGCCCCAGAGGCACCAGAGGGCCCTGGGCCCGGCACTGACCCTCATGCCCGCTCCCCAGGCTGGTTTCAACAGTGGGGACAACACGCACTACTACAACATCCCGGGCTCACGCACGGACAATGTGCTGAACATCCAGCGCACCAGCAACGTGGGGGTGCCTGGGCGCTGGGTCTTCCAGGTGGACGTGGGCGTCGGCACTGTGGCACCCAGCACTGCACCCCCCGCACCACCCCACACCACCGCACCCCCCCCACCGCCCACCGAGGGCAGGGAGGATGAGTGTCTGGAGTAAGCCCCCCACCCCGGGACACTTAGGTTCTGCCTAACACGGGGGAGCTGGGAGCTCAGATGCCTGGGTTCCCTGCAGGGGAGTGGGGCCTGGGGGCTGGGGGGGCAGGCAAGTTGGGAGCTGGGATGCCTGGGTTCAGTCCCCATTGCTAGAAGCTGTGGGGGGGAGCATTGGCAGGGACCCCACAGGCTGCATCTCACACCCGGCCTGTCTCTCCCCACAGGTGAGCAGATGGACACAGGACACGGCTGGACACGGGCCCACATGGAGGAACACATCTGCCCCCCTCCTCCCCCCCGGTCCTGGCAGGGCAGCAATAAAGCAGTGACCGAGCACCTGTGGGCTGTGTCTTTGGGGAGGCCAGAGGGTCGTGGGGGGCATACGCATGTTCATGTGCGGCTCCTGCCCCGACTGCTGGTTGGGAGATGCCGGCTGTGTGTGGGTGTGTGTTGGGGGGCGGAAGGCAGCATCCAGATGTGATCCTGTGATCCTCCCTTGCCCACACATGGCTGGGGGGGTTTCACTAGCAGCAAAATCATATCATCCACAGGGCACTCAGGTGTCCGGGGTGGGCCCCCGCATCTGGGATACACACACACACACACAACCCTAGCATCCAGGACACAGACACACACATACGCAACAAAGATGTCTGTCATGCTCACTCATGTGCGCGCGCACACACACACACACACAACCCAGGTGCCCGCAACCCATGCACGCACACAGACACCCTGGCCGCCCCCCCCCCCCCCCCCCCCCCCCCCACACACACACACACACAAAACCTAGGGATCCAGGATGCACCCCCGCCCCAGGTGTCCAGGACACACAGAGAAGCCAGGTGTCAAACAAGCATGCAGGCACACAGAACCCAGGCATCCAGGATACACACACACACACATACACACACACACACTGCAGGCATCTGGGATGGACACAAATGCAAACCCAGGTTTCCAGAAAACACACACACACACACACACACACACACAACACCCAGGTGTCCGGGTCACACACACATACACATGCACGCACACATGTCCCGCCACTCCCTCTCCCTGCCTAGAGCTGCCATGAACCCAGGCAGCTGGGCTCCTCATGCCTGTGCTCAGCTGTGCCCTTGGGGCACCAATTAGGGCCAGGGGCGGGGGCAAGGCACATCTGGGAGGAGCAGGGCACAGCTGGCTGGATCCCTATGCACCCCCCCCCCCCATTCCCGGCCCCCGCCGCGCCACCCCTCAACACCG